GACTCTGAAAGACGCCCACTTAACACCAGAGTCGGTAACACTCTGGGAACTCCAGAGTCGGGTCGATCCGCTGAATTACGTATTACCATTGAACACATCGTATGGACGTCAACAAACCGCGCGAGTCAGTTCTGATCTAACAAGCAGAACGAAACTTTGTTTACATTCGATAAACATGGAGGAGCTCTGGTGAGAGGGATTCAGACAGATAATAGAGCGAAACAATAAAGCACACCAACTACGCCCTTGTTCTCCATTGTTTACTTCCCTGATTTCTGTCGCACTGGAGAGACATCATCAACGCTAACCCAGCGTGATGTCACGAGATGCTGCAGTGGGAGGGGGCATAGGCCATGCAGCAGGGAGACCAGCTTTTTATGGCTGCGGGAAGAGAGCTAAATGCTAATTGTTAGCAGCTTGTCTAATGTTTGAAAAATAAGCGTTAACCCGATACTTTCAGTGGGAAAGAGGATTTAGTTTGACAGGTGGAGTCAGTTCTCCAGAGTCCTGCAAAGGAGACTGGATTGTGACATCCCTGATCTAAACTAATCACCATATTGGGACTTGAAAGGTGGGAAAGTATTGGTTAAACGGTCTTTTGCAGTTGCAGTTATTCAAAACTTGACATTTATTAACAACATTTTCAAAAAACTATCACCAACTACACCTTTGAGTAATAGTCTCAATATTTGTGTTCAAAACATTTTCACAATTTCTTTGTCACAGGATAGAAAAGAGGTACAGAAGGAAGGTGAGATGTTACTTTTGTAGATATTAGCGTCATAACCTTTAGGTTGTGCTTGTTTTTATAATAATCTTAGCTAATGAGGAGACACACGGGACGGTTCACCGCTAACCCACAAAACAGCCCCCCCTATGGGATATGTACAGTGAGGAAAATAAGTATTTGAACACCCTGCTATTTTGGAAGTTCTCTCACTTCTTAACTATTTATTTGTATGATTCAGCTGCAACTAAGTATTCAACCACCTGTCTATCAGCTGGAATTCTCACCCTCAAAGTCCTGTAAGTCTGCCTTCAAAATGTCCAACTCCATTTATTATCCTAAATTAGATGCACCTGTTTAAGGTCGTTAGCTACATAAAGACACCTGTCCACCCCATACAATCACTAAGAATCCAACCACTAACATGGTCCAAAGAGCTGCCTAAAGACAATAGAGACTAAATTGTAGACCAATTGTAAAGCAGCCTGGTGGAAAAAGCTCCACTGTTGGAGCAATCATTAGATGGAAGAAGCTAAACATGACTGTCAATCTCCCTCAGACTGGGGCTCCATGGAAGGTCTCACCTGGTGAGGTCTCAATGATCCCTAGAAAGGTGAGAAATCAGCCAAGAACTACATGGGAGGAGCTGGTCAATGACCTGTAAAGAGCTGGGACCACTGTTTCCATGGTTACACACTAAGACGTCATGATTGGAAATCATGCATGGCATGGAAGGTCCCTTTGCTTAAATCAGCGTATTTTAAGGCTCATCGGCAGTTAATGAGCATCTGGATGATCCAGAGGAGTCATGGGAAAAATCATGTGGTCATAATTCCACCACATAACACCATCCCTACCGTGAAGCATGGGGGTGGTAGCATCATGCTTTGGGGGTGTTTTTCTGCACATGGGACAGGGTGACTGCACTGTATTAAGGAGAGGATGACCGGGGTCATGTATTGCCAGATTTTGGGGAGCAACCTCCTTCCATCAGTTAGGGCACTGAAGATGGGTGGAGGCTGTGTCTTCCAGCATCACAATGACCCGAAACAAACAGCCAGGATAACCAAGGTGCAGCTCTGGAAGAATTAGATCAAGGTTCTGGCATGGCCTAGCCAGACTCCAGACCTAAACCCAATAGAGAATCTTTGGAGGGAGCTCAACATCAGTGTTTCTCAGCGAAAGCCCAAAAACCTGAAACATCTAGAAAAGATCTGTCCGGAGGAGTGGGCCAAAATCCCTCCTGCAGTGTGTGCAAACCTGGTAAAAAACTACAGGAAACATTTGACCTCTGGAAGGGTACTGTACCAAATATTCTAAGCTGTTCAGATACTTATCTGCAGCTGTATCTTACCAATAAATAGTTTAAAAAAATTAATACATTGTGATTTCCGGATTTCTTTTTTTTTAGATTATGTCTATCTCTGTGGACAGGCACGTATGGTGACACTTTCAGATCTCTCCATTATTTCTAAGTGGAAAAACTTGCAAAATAGCAGGGTGTACTTATTTTCCTCACTGTAGCGTCCATCTTAGGCTGTTACATTCTTACTTTCGTTCATTGATAATCTGGTCTCCTATTGTTTCCTTGATTGGACTCTCTGCCCTCCCCATCGTCCTCAGTGGCAGTATGAGTCTCGATTGCTGTTGACTTGAGGATTTTGCCACTGGACAGCAGTGAGCCCCCACCTTGTCTTTAGTCAGGAAGTACAGAAGAGCATTGAGCCAAGCATTGAAGGAAGCTAGAGGCCGTGTGATCTTGTAGCACATGGATACTGTTGTCATGGTTTGACAGGGGACTCTCTTAGCCACCTTCAGCAACAGAAAGATGGTTCTAGTAACGTGGAAGGGGAAAAAACATAGAGCAAAGAGCAGGGTGATGGTGATGATAGTCCTGATAGATTTACGTCTGCGACTTGCATATGGAGAGTGAGCACCGAGGAAAACTGTTATCTCATCATCCTTCCCTATCGCCCCCAATACACCATTGCTTTCTCTCCCAACAAGTGAAGAGCCGCTTCTACCTCTTCTCTCCGCAACGTTGCAGTCTCCATTTCTTGGTCCTTTGCGGGAAGAGGGTCGAGATTTCAAGGTCTTAAATATGGTAAGTACTACTTGAGAGTAACACCAAGCAATTATGGAAAATGGCACAAAAAAGCCCAGTAAATGTAGAATGATTCCATAGGGAACATAGTGAAGAAACTCTTTGTCTATGGCATCGTCCCAACAGTTCTGGTATCCCACAATAAGTGATTCCAGGTCATTGTAGCTGTTGTTGCCTTTTACAGAAGATGCATCATGGCTCCCATTGTAAATAGTGGTGGTTGCACTGGTCCATGTTCCAGCCATTTTGGTTATGTGCCCAGTCTGAGCAAACCGGAAAATAGGGCAAGTCAAAGCAAACACTACAATCCAGACCAAAATGCAAGTGTTCTTGACAGCTTTCTTGGTCTCTAGTGTGATCACTTTCATTGGGTGGCAGATGCCGAGGTATCTGTGAACAGAGATGCAAGTGAGGAAGAAGATGGAGCAATAGAGATTAAAGTAGAAGAGGAAGCGGACCAGGCGGCACATGAAGTCCCCAAAGACCCAGCGGTCATGCATTATATAACTAGCCACAAGAAATGGCAAAGACAGTCCATACATGAAGTCTGTGGAGGCCAGGTTGACCATGTATATGAGGGAGGCATTCCAGCGCTTCGTTTGACGGAAGGAACGGTAGAGGATAACAGAGTTCAGGGTGATGCTGAATAGGAAAGTGAACGAGTAACATATGGGGAGGAAGATGTACTTATAGGATTCATTGATACTGCAGGATGAAGCAGGAGGAGAAGAGGGAGCAGGAGAGGAGGAGCTAACAACATCCTGGGGCATAGTGGTGCTAATGATAGGAAACTCTTCACTGTTGGAGGACATTGGGGGGGAGGAAGCTATGTTCATGAAAAAGTTCATTTGTTCAGAGATCCATCAGGAAAACTGGTCGTCATTTTCACATCCTTGGGTTATCTCGCCCATGAATGGCCATCTCTGCCGGCTGCCGTTACCCTAGAAACAAAGACACAGATAAATTAGTAGGGACCAGAAACAATCAAGTCCATGAAAAGCAGCAACAAATGTGTTCTGAATGTTTCACTCTACAGATATATGTTATTCACAAAGTTGGTGGGGAATCTGCATCCACACACAGGAATATTCCCGCCTTCCTGTCCAGTATTAAGAGGAGACAATGTTCACGAAGGCTGGTAGCCTTCAGACTCCTAGGCCTGCTGACTTGAGCCACCAATTGGCAACTGCAGGTAAACGCAATAAAACTAGGGGACCAGACAAAAACAATCATTAACACGCTCTCTCTGCAGGGCACACTTCATACCAGGTAAGTTGTGGTAAATAGAATATATTCTTTGGTCGGTAAGGATTATGATTTGGATTAGTAACATTACTATCGCAGCCAAAAAGGCACAGTTCACCGTCAATATAGTTGATTATTATGTTCAGAATGACCCAAGGCTGTTATGCGGCCATTTTCTTGACTTGGTGCAACTGGGTAGAACTTTTGATTGCCCTCTGCTTTTCTTTACTATAAATACTCCCTTGCAGTAGTAGCCATTGAAAATCCCCCCACTTTCCTTGATGGGTCTTTTCTTGATGGCTGTTTCCTTAAGATTCCTTTTTTAAACATCAATCTTTGTACTAAAATATTCTTTCTGTCATAATTTGTGGACATTAAGATCTGAAGAGAAGCATAATCTCCTGGTAAAACCCTGTTAATCAGTAAAAGGGTGAAATTAGAGTAATAAAATATGCACACCCAAGAGAAGGAGGGGATCACTCCAATGCCAGGAAGTTGCCTGCCATTCAGCGGACATTTGACTTGGAAAGGCCATTCTGAATGGCTGCTCCAGGACTGGTCTTGTCCACTGAGCAAGATTTAGGTGTATACTTGCACCTTAAGAAGAAAGGACAAACCTCTGATAACGATAACGCTCAGATTCTAGACACAGAGGACAGATGGTTTGAAAAGGGCTGAGGGAACGAGAAAAGCCACCACGGAACAGAGGGATGGGATTACAGTTTTAGCTTTCAAGCATTTACAGTTGGGTCCTTTCAGTCCCTACTCATTCAGAAGAACACAAGAACACTTATGATTCAAATGGCCAAATACAAAACTCATACAAAACAATGGAATTGAAGCACCCAGGAGAACCACGGGTAGGTCTTTCTGTGGGACAAACGGAAATGACATGAAAAGGTGTTGAAACATCTAAAAAAAACAGCAAAACTCAGTTTAGCAAAGTTGCCTTTGCTGAAAAACAAACAAAAAAAGGCTGACGAAACTTGCTAAATACTGTTGTTAAAGTGCTTGTGGGGAATCTTTACCAACTGAAAACAGATCTGTAGGCTTATATTTAACGGTAACTACCTAGATATGCTCTCCTTCATCCGCTAGAGTTGAAAACTGTCCCAGAGCTCATCAGCCTAAGCCGGGTATTCACTGTACAATATTTTCATTTGTTTCACTCAGGTACAGCTCACATTGTACGATGAATCCACAGGGTTTAAAAGGTCTCATCTCACTATGTATGTTCTTCCACTGTACGGCCAGATGTTCTGATGCGATCTAAATGCTCAACCTGTACGTAAAAAAAAACACAGGTCGGACTCAGTGCCGAGAAATGGCGCTGGTCAGACTCATCAATCTGGAAAAAGAAGAAGAATTCCCTTGTTTGCACATGCTCAGTGCTTGAGGTTCTGGTAAATCGGCTCATAGCTCTGCTTCAACAGCAGGATTTATCCGTCAACACCTTAAGAGGACCGACTGAATTTCAAACGTGTTTGATTTCTCCCAACCTTACGATTCTTGATCGGGAGGTGGTTGTAAGAGGCTGATTGCCCCTCGTTACCCTCTGTATACTACGTGATGCAGGAAGCACTATGAGGCTGAAACTCAGCCCAGGCTCACACCGACTCCGGTCTTACCGTTGCGGAGCGGTGGGTGCGGCGCAGCAGTGATTCCAAGTCATTAAAAAGACCTAAACCTCTCTCACCGGCTGCTGAGCTGTCCGGCTGCGGTTACCGAGACACTCCGGCGCTGCAGAAAATTCCGCAAGAAAGCTATCCTTGCGGCGTGCCAGAGCCCTCCGCAACAAGCTCTCGCAAATATCCTTATTTGGGCCATGTTATCGCGTGAAGTTACGTGAACTCAAGTAAACTTCTGTTCTCGCGAGTTAAATCTCCGGACCTGTTGCCGGAGCCGCAGAGCCGCACCGCACCGTAGTCAAAAGGGCGGTGTGAGAGGGGGTGTGCGGGAGTTGCGGTCTCCGTCGGCTCGGTAACCGCACCAGAGCCAGTGTGAGCAAGGGGCCACAACTAGAGAATTGACTTGAAAAAGGCAAAAACTCGGCTTCAGCCATGTTTATGGCATAGATGATGCCACAACAGGAAATTTCTATGTTTTTCTAAGATAGGAAGCACTCCTGGATGAACAAGTCATATGCTGTAGCAACGTGGTAGAAGAAGTGGAGTCGGTAGAGGAGTTTAAATACCTTTGTGTTTCCCTGGACAACACACTGGAAAGGAGACCCAACTGTGACAGAGCAGACAGGACCTCTAGATCCTTCAGTGTTTGTAAAGGATGCTGCAGATTCTCTAAAAGTCAGTTGTGTCTGAACTTCAATCAGACTTCAGGTGCAAAACAAACAGATCCTTCCTTCCTTTAACCATCAATGTCTACAACAACTAGATGAAGACAAACAATCCTGTGAGTTATGACCTTTCACTTTTCTTTGGGATTAACAATCTTTGATTTGGATCAAAGTTCCAGTTGTCGGCCACATGTCCTGAGATTGAAGAGTTCAACAAATATGAATTTCAAAATGAACTCCAGATGATAACCAAACTCAGCTGAGATGTCTGTTCTGGGCGAGGAATGGATCTGTGTGACGTGACTGAATCACTTCTCTGAGACAACACGGGGTGGGAAATGGTGCCACATCTATAATCTGAACTGAATTGACCCAACTGCTGTGAGAGGAACTGCTTCCCCCATAAAATCCATCCAGGCTGAACTTATGGAGGAAGCAGCTCAGCCCTGTGTTTATTGCAGCAACAACAGGAAGCATTTCTCCTCCAGCTGAATCACCAGAGCCTTCCTGACTTGGAGAAACGACATTTTATCGTCTGCATAACGACGAAGCAAAGTCGTCAACAGAAATCACTGGTCATAATGATAAGTAAAACATTTGACAATGATTGTGTTGTT